TTCCACCTTGGCACTTAGCGCAATCCCGACACCAGCAACACCGCGAGCTTCGGACGCCAATTTGCTTTGGGAACTCACTTATGAATAAGTACTGTGGGCAGTTCATGTGGAACAATGGTAAAAATGAACATCTGATCAGAAGGAAATCTAAACGCAAGATTATCTATAGTGACGTCGAATTGGGGAAATCGATGGCTTTTGGGAGATTATATTCAATTGAAAAAACAATCAACCGGCAGTTTAAGACGATGAAACAAGGCTCTGCTATAATATAGTATCAAACACTCATTGTTTGCATGACAACAGCAAAGGGTATACGAATCACTTACTATTGCTCATTCATTTCGAACAGCCGACTGGAATCATTTAATCGACCAAGGCTGCAATATTTGGACACAGCATCATCAGAGCCATGTCGTTTCTCTGAACCCGGATCTCCAGCATTGCGATGATGAGTCACGGTTGTGGAAAACCTATGCACCAGACTGTTTGCCTTGATGCGCTCGGAACCATAGGCAGAAGTGGATGTTTTTGGTGTGAGCGTGGAGGCGGAGGCTGTTGGTGTTAGCTTTTTCCGATTGAATGTAAGAAAACCGAACCAACTATTCCCACTTTTGGCACCAGTATTTGAAACAGACTCGGGAGTAGATGGAAGGGTTGCTGACGCCATGACCGCCTTAGCGGTTGAAGCTGATGTTGGGGACGTGGTGAGACGGCTTTCCGGAGTTTGGTGAACTGGATTAACAGTGACCGGACTTGGGAAGTTTGTGCCGAAGAAGGAATCATCTAGGACCCCGTTTGGTGGCCGGGTAGGAGCGACATTGAGTACGAATTGCACACCTTGTCGAATCACATCCTCCGTCAGATCCCAAAGGCAGAACTGTGTGTCTTGACCAACGGAACCAATTCTGCAGAAGCCAAGCACCAAATACAATACACCGTGAATTGTAAACTTGTGTACAATATTTGGATTTTCAAGTAAAACGTTAACCTATATGATACTTGGGAGGTTGAATCAAAAATAGACAACGTTTTGATAATGATATCAGTACTACATAGTTATCCTTTATAAAGGAATACCAGACAGTATGACCGAAGAACTTAAAATCCCACGAAGATTGCCGTTCATCAGTTCGTTCAATACCATAAAAGCTAAATATGGAAGAAACACAAAAGTGACGCTGATTATCTCTTGCTAGTAGACGCGAAACAAGAATGTATAAATAACTGATAAATCGTTCAGTATATGATATCATTTGACATCTGGCAATCTCCCTTTGAAATCGATTGATTCGGTGATAGTTGAGCTGTTAAACTCATCAATTAGTTAATCCAGAGGATGTGTATTCGAACCCTTTCACCACCACCACCACCGAAGATTACCCACCTTCTATGTGGCAGCCCTTTAATTTCCCACTTACCAGTTACTAAAAACTGCTCGTATCGTTATATATACTCAATACAAGGAGGGTACAAAAAAGGAAATCGATTTATTTCAGTGAAGACGGTGGCGGCCCCGTGGTAACTGATCACCCCGGGATGTGTGTTCTAATCTCAACACCACCGCCTGACTTTCCCTATTGTGTGATGAATGGCAGCCCTTTGATTCGCCGCTTCCTCCTTCCTGAAAATTTCATTTTTGTATATTCAATAAAAGGAAGTCGAAAAAGTTGATTGCACCACAACCGGAGATTAAAGAAATGAATATCGCATCAATAAGCACAACGAATAACGTTCCTAAAAATATTCCTCGCTAGCGATAGCTTTCTTTAGTCTCATGTGTACTGTTATTCATCCATAGAACAATTGATCTTTCGTGCAAATCGTGAGTATAAACATGAACTAGTAAGGCAACTGATGAAGAATGATCGAAGAACCAGTCAAAAACAAGGACAAACGAAAGAAAGCCGGCAGTGGCCAAAGGTATCAGTGAAAACTTTTTTACAATTAACGGACACGGGTTCATCACGGCTGCCATCGTCGTGCAGTAAAATACAGTCAAACAAACTTGGTACATCCGTGTACGGCTCATAGTGGATTCAGAGTTAGAACAAATGCGCCTGCTTTAAGGAGAATGCACCTTAACGTGGTATGATGGCTTGTGCACCTCTATGGCCCGACGAGATACAAAAGATGGATTTTTTCAAGCCAGATCTTATCATGCCTGGAAAGTTGAAGGGTAGAAGTCACACAAAGTTTAGTCTCCTCTCTCAGCCTCTCTCCAGTCTCCAAGGGTTCGACTCGAGTTAGCGTCTGATTTGGTAAAAATGGAAGAGCAGTAAATGGATCCCCACTTCGCTTCACCCGCTGCCTTGCGGTTGGGTTCTTGTCAGAACTCAAGGCTTTGGACGAGAACCCTAATCGTTCTCGTGCTTAGCTCCTGGACACCAAAGCAGTACCCGTTCGTTCAACCCCAATACATACACAAAATCAAAACAATTCCATACTGCACCGGTCGTCGCGCAGGATAATCAGGACCGTGCTTCCGATTACACTGAGCGGGGTGGGTATTGATAGGTTGGTTACTGCTCAGACATCCCAACTTTCGTTTAACTCTTTTTCTATGCCCAGCTTTCCTATGTTACCCCTTCTTCCGACCCGTAACATTCCATCAGACAACTTGTTCGTTACTCACCAAAGTTCCTTGTCAAGTAGCGCGGAAAGTAGTTTACCACTAAATAATTTGCACACTCTGCAGTCTCGTCAACCTTTCAATCTGAAGGGGTTCAAAGGGAGAACTCTTGCAGGTGAGTCAACAGGTTTGTCTGGCGTATACAATAGGATCTTTGAGAACTGATGTCTGCTGCGTATCGGAGATGCGCATCCAGGATCCTGGTACTATAAACCACTTAGGTGAACTGGATTTGTCTTCGAAGTACTTCATCCGCATGTCAGGTAATGACGAAGCCCGTTCAGTAGGCCAGTGTGGCGCAGGCATTGTACTCAATAATACAGCCGAAGCGTCACTAATCGATTGGATCCCTACCAGCAGTCGCTTATGTGCGATGCGGCCCCAAGGATCTGTCAGCGTCCGAAAGGGAAGCAACACCAAAAGGTGTTTGTTCATCATCTCAGCGTATGCACCGACCAGTTGCAGTTCTGACACACAAAAGGACGAGCTTTGTGATAAACTCATTGAACTTATTCGGTTGAATCGAAGCTTCGATATAGTTGTTCTCGCAGGTGATTTTAACGCTCAAGTTGGAAAACTGAGTGCATCGGAAGCTTGCCTANAGGCGGTCGTTATGTTTTGCCCTACCAGCGAACAGATAACAGTGATCAACTTCTTCAGTTCTGCGCAGATCATCATCTGCTCCCAACTTCCACCAAATTCCGACACAGCTCCCAGCGGACAGCAACGTAACGCTTTAATTCAAATGGCACACTAATTCAAATCGACCACATAGCAGTAAGCTATGGCGTGGTTCAGTACAAAACTGCAGGTTCTACTGGACCACCTGCGTTGAATCTGATCATACATTAGTTTTGATGCAGTTCACTCTCCGACTCACTGATCGTAGAAAAACCTAAACTCGATTGGCAGATCATGCCTTATCTGACCCAGTCGTTCGTGTCCGTTTTGAAGCAGAATCAGGGCAAGAGCTAATTGCGTTGCAGCGCTTCTTTTATTACATACCTTTGTGTGATGAACAGTAGACGGAGAAACCCCATAGTCAAGAGGACACGCTGTTCAGTGATGGGAACCGGCAACCCAAGCCCTGGGTCTTGGAGTGGTGAACCACATTAGGCCCCACTAGGTTAAGCAGCCTGGTAGTTAGGATGAAAAAGAAAAAGAAAATTTTACGAGCAGTGAACTCCACAGCGAGGGTTGCTTGTGGAGCTGAAGCGGTAGCCCGTCCGAGGCATTGAATATCTGATGATTCAGTAGCGCTGATGGAGAAAAGGCAGCAAATACCGATCGGGATCAAAGCAGGGTTAGGTAGTGTCTGCAACGTCAGCTCATGAAGAGCCTCAAGAAAATGGTGGGCAAATGGAAGTAGTAACTGCTTCAGGAAACAGTCAAAGACTGTTCCGACTGATACGCAATGTGGGAGGTCGGCGAACTCCAGTTAGTGAAACACTGCGATAAGGGAGGACAGGCTATTCGCAATAGGGAACAACAATTTGATCGCTGGGCGGGGTACTTCAACGAGCAGTTCAGTTGGTCAGGTGCTAACCAGACTAATTTGTCTGTAGTAGTCGAGGCTCCGTTGGCAGTGTCATGTGGACCTCCTACTAAAGTCGAAGCACGATCTTGCATTTAAGCCCTAAAGAAAGCAAAAGCAACAGGACCGGACGGTCTCCTCCCACTCTTTTCAAGATGGGGGTGGGGGCGATGACCTCGTAGATTCCAATACTGATTTAACACGTAATACCTGGTCACAAGAGTGCAAGCCGTCATTCTAGAGCGAATAACTGATCGTTCCAATTTTTAAGAAGGGTTCTCCAAACGACTGCGCAAACCACCGTAGAATGCGTTCGATCCCAATTTTTACTAGTGCTAACTTTCGTCATACTTCGACGCATGACTTTAAGAAAGACCAACATCCGTGCACAGAAATCCAGATTCGGACCTGACCGTGGATGTATTGATCAAATGTTTACACTGCGACAGATCCTTGAGCTGGGTCACACCCACCGTCGATCAACCATCACTGTGTTCCTTGATCTGAAAGTAGCCTTCGACTCAGGTGACAGGGAAGCTTTGATGGGTTCCCTTTTTTGAGAAGGAATGCCGTAGAGCTATATGAACATACTGAGGTCACTGTATTCACATACCTCTGATCGAGTGTGGGTTTACAACGAACTAAGTAGGCCATTCGTTAGCAGCAGCGGCGTTCGCCATTCTTGTTCAATTTCTTAGTAAACGAAATACTGGAGAACGCACTAACTGGTCTCCAAAATGTAGGTATTGAATGAGCAGCTGAAGAAAAACTGTGCGATGTAGGGTACGCCGATGACATCGTCTGTTCGTTTGAATGTATGCAGGACGCGCAAAGCACACTTGATAGACTAACAAGTGCTGTTGCCACATTTGGTATGTGCTTGGAACCTTCAAAGTGCAGTGATGCTGCAGGACTGGGGGTCACCTACTCCTGTTCTGAAACTAAATGGCCAGGAATTAGTTATGGTGGATTCCTTTTCCTACTTAGGTAGTTGCGTGACCATTGACGGTAGCGCAGCAAAGGAGATAACCGTCCGCATTTCCAAGGCTCAAGCAGCGCACGCAGCCACTACGTGAAGTTTCACTGAAGTTGAAAGGCCGTGTATACACATCACTGTACGATCAGTTCTGCTTTACGGTTGTGAGACCTTGAATTTGAGGGTAGAAGACATCCGTTGCTTAATGGTTTTCGACGATCGATGCTTACGTAGTCTGACCCAAGTGGGATGAAGTGAGCGGGTTAGTAACCTAGAGCGACGTCGTCGAGTGTTTGGGAATGCATCGAACGCGAACTCGCTAGCGCATCGAATTCAGCTCAATAGACTCAGTTGGTTAGGACACGTTTTGCGTACGTACAACGGTCACCTACAACACCGAGCCCTAGTTGCAGTAGCCGCTGAAGAGAAAGCCACGTAGAGGCCAGCAGACGAGGTATGAAGAAATGCACAGCGATTAGAGTAGGTAAATCCCGTCTTTCGGGTTTGGGCTCAAAACACTCCGTAACTGATTGCTAGGAGGTCATGGCTGCAAACCGACACCAGTGGCGATCTTACCGTCACTTCTAATCAGATCAGAAATGTTTGCGTATGGATAGTTGGACTGTTTACTCTGTGTGTTGACCATAGAGGTTCCCTTTCTTTTCCCGTCCCTAAAATCAGGCCCAATCCCCATCCCGTTTACACATTATCACTTACCTTTTATGCATTATGAGTCTGGCAGTGATCAGTGAAGTTTGCTCCGCTGCATTACGCTGTATAATGATGATGAAGGAGGGGAAAGTAAGGTCAATACGTAGTGCACAATGCAACTCAGCCAAAACACCGGTTCAAAAGATGATCTTACTATGAATGGCTGCAAACACGACACTGTTGTCGGTTCGCTGCTTTGTGCTCTAGTATGTAAAACCAAACGCAATGAACTTTCGGACCCTAGCCCAAAAGATAGAAGGCATATGAAGTAACTGAACTCAATGCGGTTGGTCAAATCCTGACTCTAAGACATTTGTTGAGAGTCGCGTGGTTTCCTCCGCCCCGAAACGGTATCGCAAACAGAATGAAGTGCAGTAGACGACCACGTGGACCGTTCGAAGAGATTTCTTGTCGGTGAGTAACAATTTAGTGGTAAAAATTATGAGAACATCTGCCCGTGGGTCATATTTTTTATACCTCACTGACCAACCGTTTCCTCCGTTCCACAATGACACGGCAAACTTCATGATGATCACAACTCTGCTTCTGAACGGAATTAAAATTTGTTACAAATCATATGTACCTATGTGAGCGTTGATCTACGGATCACAGCACATTAAGTGCAATGAAGAAAGGGCCTTTTTATCAAAATGTGGTGTTCATATATTGACGGCTACATTAACTCAGCACACAAAGGGTAGTTCCCAACTGATAAGGATAGGGTTGCGAGAAGATGATTNGATTTAGACAGCAGCTTTGTTGTCGTCTGGTTCAATAGCACGCCCTAACTAGCAGAGCCTTATGCGGTTTGCTACTCCAAGTCCCGGGGATTAGGTTACCGGCTATCATCACCGAACAGCAGGTCCTCGTAACTATGGGGGCATTCCCCGTCTGCTTTTCATCCAATAAGGTGTGTAATTGAAGAACAAAAATGCTGGATACTTCTGTTATTCTTCCGGTCTAATGTTTGAATAAAATATATCTACTATCGAGTAATGTGTTTCCGTTCCTACGGGCCAGCTCAGTGATAAACACAATACAGTTCAACAGAAGAGAAGTCGAAGAATAGGTGGACCAATTTAGAATGGGACTAAATAACGTACAAAAAGACATGTGGTTTTCGCCAATCCAAAAGATTTGTGGCAAGATATGAGCGAATTCTGTCAATCTTCTACACAGTTATGTTTGTAAGCAGCCAAAAGGGTTCGATTGTCAACAAATGACTACGTGCGCCTAACACACAAGTTCATCAAGGGAGCTGGGAAACGATGTTCACAGCAAACCCGAAGAGACCGCGGGTGATACAAATCTACTTTCGAAACAGCTAGTTCGCTTGGGGGCCGTAAATTTAACCACCTGCCGAAAAACTCAATGGAAGCAAATCAAGGAAGTCATAGAAATGTCTCTTGAAACAACCATAGAGTCCAACGCAAAAAACACCAAAGCACAAACGACGTATGTATCCGAACTCTACGACCTTGTCATAGTCCCACAGAACCACTCGTAAAGGTACCAAATATAACAACGTGCGCAGCTCCCTTTAACGCCAGCTCTTCCGGAACAAGAAGCGTTCGATGGCAAAACGTAAGTAGCTAGAGAGAGCTGCTCTAATTGGTTGCAGTCGTGATGATAAAGCCCAGTCTAAATTAGGGGATAGCGGAAAATAAGAGCGGGCAGACGAAGGAGTTTAACAGTACAGGAATTCACCCTCAACAAGACCATATGGAATGATAGACGGAGCATGTGAAGTGGCAGATAAATCAGCCACTAGCGGCATTACCCATTACATATAAATTTCGCCTTAAATGTAAACCTGTTGTCAGTTGAAACCTGCTATCCGTCCGAAACGGAGATCAAATGGATGACAGATTACCTCAGAGGTTATAAGGTATCCGGTTCGGATGTAATCTTAATGCATTTGTAACAATGGTGAACCAATTTCCGTGTCAGAATAGGTAAAACTCCTGGATTCAGTGAGGACAGTTAAGAAGTTCCAAAAGAACTGTGTGAATCAGCTATCTTAACCATTAACAATGGGACAGACCTTGAAAAAAACTATATGAGAGTTATTTCCATCAGCATTGTTTTAAAGATTCTCGCTGGCACCAAACTTCATTATTAGCCTGTAGTCTGTAGACTGTAAAACGCAAAGCACACGGAAAAATCGGGTTTCTTTTGTAGTTGGTAGGCTTCATCGGCCACATTTTCCCTAGTTCCCAAATTCTGGAATATAAATATTACATTCACAGACCCACTATCTCTATTTTTTTAGCCTGCATTCAGATTTCAATTCAGTTTGCTGCAACGTACACTAGGGTTACATCTCGTTAACAATGCTCAGCGATTAGGTGACTGCTACTTATCGTGAATGGTCGATCCACTTTTTACCGTTTTTTACCCGGTGCTACGTATCAGTTGAGATAGTCATTGGCCATTCTCTGATGCATAGGTTACTTCCATTTTCCTAGCTATTTTGGCCTAACAGTTTTCACGGCATTTCTTAAGGCTTCTTCTGGGTTAACGTTGCAGATATCACCTGTTCCTATGTTCATCCTGGCAGATTGGGATTTTAAGCTTTTCCTCCATCAAGAATGAGGACTCCTGGAAGATGCAGTATCTTCAACAAACTTCCGGCTCTGTTCCACAAGCAACTTTTGCTGCTGAACGGATTGCATGTTTAATTTTATTCCACTGTTGATCTACTCCGCCACACTGCGATGCTCCTAGTTTTATAATTCCAGAAGGCGCTGGTGGTCTAGGATAGTCATTTATTGAGGATTTCAGATGGGATATCACCAATTTGCCATACATAAAACAAAACATCTCATCAGAAACATACTATCGCCGTTCCTGGTGGCACACCGGATAATACATAGGGCAGTCGGTAGTTATTCTATGAGACACGTCACTTGGCCCTCGGTGGTCTTGTTATACTTTGGATCATTGAAAGAAATCACAAACTCTGTTAGCTACTACTCACAAGTGAGTACTATCTCACAATAATATGAGCACACTCGCCCGCTGAACTAGACCACTATGTCACTGTCCATTGAAAGCGGTATCAAAAGTTGGCATTGGATAAGATCAATCAATTAACTGTGCAGAACTGAAGCAGGTAGTTGCCGTTGTCAGTTCGATGAGCGTGTAGAGCGAAACGCCCTCCAAGACAGGCTTAGTATGTGCTCAGTTTTCTGCCTTGCACGCTAACATCACCCGTCAGAACAAATACATCAGAATGCGGTCCAGCTGGATTTGTGGACTGTGATTGAAGTAAACTGGTGCATATGCCAGTAGCCTTTCTGTTTAGGGACCCCGTGACACGCCCAATCATTTTTAGAGACACTGGATGATATTCTTGTGTGTGACGATCTACACCCACACCATTTATCCTGACACTGGTCTCACTATTGTTAACTTATACATTTTCATGGGTCAGCGGTAATCAAGAGTAGCGCACTGTTGAAAATTCATCCTAATGGAGTATGAATTTTTGCATGACGACTTCCAGTGCATCGTAAATGATAGCACAACCTAAAATGGATTATGATAGTGTAATGCACTCAACGATCAGTTACGCAGAGAATACTAAGTAAACTAAGACAGGTAATGAACATATTACCTAACCACCATAGAGTACGCTGAGTGCGAGATACGTCACGTATATCTTCCGGTGGGCTCCCCTAACCATTCGATTTCTATCGTGTGTGGTGTTTGATAGATCAAAAAATAGTCAGTCTATGGCATAACAGTATGATATGGAATCCTGAGTCGTTAAACCCAGTCGTATTGGCAAGTTTAGTGTCAGGCTGGATAGACAAGAAATTCACTTTGTAGCTAGAAGCGCTGAGTGGTACGAGGCGTGAAATGAGACTGGTTTTAATCGTAGTAAGTTGCGATTAGTTTCATGGGTCTCATCGTTCTTGGGATGATTCAAAGCACAGAACGATATAGAAATACAACATTTGATTGTTACTGGTTGCAGAAACAACTTCAAAAAACTGACACTCTAGACAGAACTGACATTTTTATGGCCTCTGCCAAAATTAACAACCTAACCCAAACAATCGATGTTGAATCCAGAATATTCACAGGTTAGCTGTTGCGTTTTTAGTAGCAGTCTAAACTCAACAATCATAACTGCACCAAACGGCTTACCAACTTAATGGAGAGCCTTGAAATCGATTTGACATCAGCATATAATAGTACACAAACAAGAAGCAATGGCATAGATTCCATCAAAGCATAGGTAATGAAATACTAACCGGTAAGTGCCAAGCATCGGGTTACAACACCCATCATCTGCCAGAGAAAACCGATTAATAGGTGTATTGTTGTGTTCCACATAAGCTGGCTTCTGCTCTTGGGTAGAACTAAATCCGTTGGCCGAAGTAGATGGAGAAAAATCACGCGTATCGGTCAACTGACATTTGGGTGGACAAAGGTACGGATCGAATCGGACAGTGCTCACCCATGAACGGTGACCTTCACCACGACAAATCACGGAACGATATTGCATTGACCACACTGTGATTAAATCATCTTGTCCACCAACGACGACGAATTGGGAATCCGGGGACCAATCCACACACAAAAGGCCGGCAAAGTATGAGCGCATAAAACCCTACGGGGAGGAAAGTAAGAAGCACAACATGACTATGTTTGTACATAAAACTGTAGGTCAAAGATAATTGGCGATTATTTTCAAAAGTTCATCCGGTATAGAGCTGTATTGTTGGAGTGTACTCAATAAGTATTTGCAGATGTTGTAACCCGAATAGCATATATTACTTGATCCAAACATCCCGCTTCCTCGCTAAGGTTTAGCGCCTCTGAAAGCCTCAGTGTGGCCGGAGGTGTGTCTCGGATGGCCACCGGCTCGATTGGGCATCGAGGTCTACTGGGCACTTTAGACGTTTGATCCCGTCCAAAGGGTGTATGATACTGGACACCAGCCCCAAATTAAATGCGGTTTTCACACACTGTCCCGCTGCCTTGCGGGTGAGACTTTGGCTAACGGATGCTCCGGTTGTGATATCCCGAAGAAAAGTTACCTGCTTTAGCCTGGGCAACCTGGCAGTACCGCACCCTCAAGCAAACCATGAATCTTTTCTCTTTTTCATTATTTATATAATCATATTTCACACACGTCTGAAGCCAGACTGTGTGCAAAACAAATCATGGTACAATAATCTTTATAAAAAGAAAAACATTTCATGATATGCATGTGGGTTGCCAGGTTGCTCAGGCCAAGGCAGGTGAATTTTCTTGGAATCCACAACCGGAGCCTTCGGCTAGCCAAAGCATGATCCGCAAGGCAGCGGTGCGGTGCGAAAACCACAATCCATTGGGGGCCGGTATCTAGTTCATCGGATCATACACCCTTTGGAAGGGGTCAAACGTCTAATGGACCTCGATGTCCAATCGAACCGGTGTGTGGTTCGTGCGCCTCCTCTTGGTTGGTTTGGAATCAGGAGTTTTGGCCAACTCCCGTAGGTGAACTACCAGCGGTCCACCGACCCGGTTATAGCCCCGGATGTTGGCTTTTCGTCCTCTAACGTTGGTGGGAAAACAACTCCGCCACGAGAAGGTAGTGAGTAGAGCTTCCTCAGCAGAGGCTACTTGAGACACTTGATCGCATAGGAGTATTTCGCGAGACGAAAGGGAAGGGTGATCGGCCGCAACCCGGGACACCTACACCGGACCATACTGAGGCTTTCGGAGGCTCTCTTTTTCATAAAGAATATTGTACCGTGATTTTTTTGGCACAGTCTGAACTCAGACGTTTGTGAAATACGAAATACGAAATATTTCA